GGAAGCACGGACATCGACACTGGGTTCTCAACAGCACCCGTAGCCCGGGGTGCCACTGCCGCCCAGGTCGTCTACTAGGGGCTCGCTCGTCACTGCACCTTTTTTAAGGTTTATGTCGCTTAGTCTTTGGGCTCAAGCTTTACCTGTTTTAATCGAGTTTGCTCCTGCTTTATTCGGTGTTGGCGCTGCTGGTACAGCTATTGGAACTGGTTTACAAGTTGCAAACGCTGTTAATAGTCTGCTTTCTGGAGGTGATTTCTCTAAGCAGTCTACTGTTGATACGTTAGTTAATTACGTTGCAGATACTGCTACGGACGCTTTAATAGACGCTGGTAATGGGTTACTCAGGCAAGGTGTCGAGAGGGCGCAGGAGGCGTATAGGGATCGGTTACGGCCGCGGGCGAAGTCGTCGGTACGGAAGCCGTCTAAGCCTCCTCAGAAGAAGGCGAAGCCGTTTGAGGGGAAGCACTGGGTTGCGCGGAAGAAGCGGTTTAGGTCGCGGGCGCAGCCGTTCTAGGGCTTTTCCTAATGTTGTTTCTTATCGCCTTTCTAATGTTATTTCTGGTATTGCTCCAGGTGGTTGGAAGCTCTGTATGGTCGATTCAGTTCGTCCTTTGCAGTTGCAGAGTTTGTGGAAATCGTTTAAGGTTGTTGGTGCTAACGTTGCTGTTAAACGTCATCAACCTTCTCCTATTATATTTGATGGTACGCAAGCTCAAGTTGCTCATCAGGAGTTATGGTGGGCGCCTTGGTCGGGTGTCGATGAGCCTATGATTCATCCCAGACAGATGGCGTCTGCTATACTTGTTGGTGATAATTGGACTGCGAAGTATATTCGTAATTCTGTTCCTGTTAGTCAGCGTTTCCATTATGATAATCGGGATCCTAAAAAAGGTATTGAACAAGTTATTGAGTTTTTCAAGGCTGGTTCTCCTCCGTGGCTTCCTATTGATCGTGGTGATAAGGATGATGCGGGTAAGGATTCTGGTAAGTTTGCTTCTCAGCAGTCTATAGGTTATTTCTATGTTGATGGTCCGACTACTGCTAAGGTTACTATTGATGTGGAGCTTAAGTTGACTATTGCTTTGAAGGGTCGTAAGTGTTTGGGTGGTAAAGTGGATAATTCTGGGCCTATTAATGCTAATAATGCTGGTCAGTCTATTGGTAATGAAGACTTGGGAGATAATTTGGCTACTTCTTTTACTGATAAGGGTACAGATAGTGTTGATTAGATAGCTTTATATGTTTTAATTTCAAAAC